TGTTGCTAAATTAGTCGGGCTTAATGCATTTGTTACGTAAAGGTAATTTAACGACAGGTAGCGGCCAACGCGTAATCTGGCATTTCTCAGAATAAGTAATGTCAACTGGCTTCAGTCCAACAGCATATTAGTGATACTGGGATATTGAGAATAGGGCCAACTCGATTATAGAGTGAGGGAGGGGGCGATTGGGTTACTATATACATGGTAACCATAGATTAATCTTCATGCCGTCTTTTCTAGAATACACCGTGGTTAATCTTGCAATAACTAAAAAAAATATTGTAGGTTAATTGTGAACAGAAGAACAAATCGGAACATGGATAGCGGAAATAGAGAAAAAAGAAAAACGACACTATCATAAACGTTATCAATTATTTTTCATTATTGAAGTTAGCAAGATACGTACAATTAAATAAATTTGTATAAATGATGTTGGCATGCCTGTTATATTTTTTAATAAAGGTCTGTAGACTCCTAATTGTATTGAATTATTTTGTGTTAAATATTTCAAATTAGACCCAATTTAGCGTAGTACATAAAGCTTTATTGTGAGGCGATTAATAATATATTAAAATAGTGAATAAATTAAATAGGTTAACGTTAACAAGACGAGACAGTACGAAAGTGCTCTATGAAAGATCAAAGACATTTTTGTTTTATTATGATTTCACTAAATAAACAACAGACAGAGAGAAAGTAATTGAAATATTATATTATTTCTGTTGTTATTTGAGACAAAATTATACGTAAATAACTACTTATTTGGTTATATCAAAATATATTTAGTTTTCTGTAAGTATCTGGTTACATACTTAGCTTCGCTTTCGCAATGTACAAGTTGTATATTGGTATGTGTTTGTAAGTTATAACTTGAAAAATAAATAGAGCTTCAGTTGCCGCCATAACAAGTATATTTTATTTCACAAATAAGCATGATTTTGGATCATAAAACATACCGAAATGTTATCGATTCCAACTTCAGTCCAAAAAATTGATCGGAATGTTAATCTTTATTTATCATATAATGAATGACATTCCGTCCAATTTTGTCAAACCTACCAATAATACATATGAATCGAGAACTTCTTCCATGTCCAAATTATTCCAAAATGTTGTTAGAACTATAGAAATTATGATAAAATCAAACTTTCTCATTTGTTATCTAAAATGGCAAATGATATACTTAATTTTTATGGACACACGCACTGTGCTATTCGCATACAAGAACCGTCTCTGGTTGTTCGTAACCAATAATCAATCTGGTTTGCATGTTAGCTCTAAATACCCAAATTTATAGATTTATCACCGTAACAAAATTCAGATTAGAGTCACGCGCGGGCTCTTTAGTCACAGAGCACTTGTGTCCTTAATACGGCTGGTAAATGTCGGCTGGCCGTTCGCCAAACAGCCCGATAATTTACCATCGACGCGTTGCATGCAAATTTAAGGCCCATTTCTTATTTCTCATTGGAAATTGGACCGATTTTTCCGAATATTAAATCTGAAAACTATTGTTAAGCGTGTTAGATTAAATGATAGGGATGTACGATAGAATTGCGTGACAACTTAGAACATTTGGCATCTAAGTTATTCAAGTGGTTATAACTAGATTTAAGATGTAAAGAGTATATATGTAATACTACCACTATATGTAACCTTCTTTTGTAGATTACTACAACAACAAAACAAAACAGAATTAACAAAATTATAACTACATATATTAATATGTAGGTCCTATACGTTTCTTCTCGGAAATCATTATGGATAAACAACAGACCCCAACACAACCCCAACATTTGAGCACAATAGACACAGCAAATATTATAGGTACTATAAGAAAGAAATACCTACTTAAAACATATAATATAAAAATAGTTTAACAATAATTCTTACAGATATAAAATTAAGATTTCAGATTTCGAATCTGTGTCTTTAAAAATATCTGAAAGTGTTATCTCATTTTTCAGGAGGATGTCTGGTACAGAAATTTCATTAGTCGCAAAGAGCTCTAGGGTGAAGTGTGAACTCCTTATTCATTAGTGCGAAGTTATGCGATCCCATAAGCTGAGCGTGACATGACTTTATTCTGTCCTACAATAACGCGATATTTCTGTTTTTATTGCATGATTCAATTTATGTTGTAGGTGCAGTTGGTGGTAGAAATTATTTATAAATAACAAGAGAATAATATATAGCGGTTTGGTTTTGTTATTTCCCATTTCCTATAAAATTTTTAATGATAACACTACTGATTAGGTACTGATTATAACGACGCCACATGTTCTTGAGAACTGAGAACGTTTTTTTAAGTAGGTAATTAGAATGATCAAAATGCAGTGGACTACCAAATGAAAAGTGGTAATCGTTGGTATTATGATAAACACCCCACATGTATTGCCACTATTGAGGAATAAAGTATCATATCTCGGTGCCTTGTAACTGTCCGGCGGGGGCATTTTCCTTGGGAAACTCAAAGGTGTATAGATTCACTCTAAACTGTGACGTTGGCTATTTTTGACTAGCCGACTATCGACTGTCGGAGTTTCTTGGACTTTATTGTATTTACATAAAGTTGTAGTGATTCAGTGATTGTATCAACGCTGGATTGAGGGTTGTCAACTATTGTATATATAATATGCATTATTTGAACTAGCGATTGAGCAAATAAAAATTGCTTCAACGGGTCATGAATTCGCTGGTATTAAAATAAGTTTATTCTTGGATTTTTAGATAGTTAATTCAAACTCTCCGATAATAAACATATCAGCATCATATTCCGATATTAGTTCTAGCCTTGATTTTAATAATAATAACTCTGAACAATTCACACAGCGCCATCTAGTCCCACGCTAAGCAGAGCTTATATATTTATAGAGTGTTAGAAGCACTAGAGATAAGTGATATAATATACATAGATACATTTTTAAGTAAATACATACAAAAAATATCTCTGTATTTCGTTACAAACAATCGTACAATACAAATGTTTGTATCGTCGAAGAATCGAACCCGCGAGCATCGGATGTAAGGCGGTGTGCTAAACCGCTAGACCGCCGAGGCCGTCGAAATTATGTTCGTACATATCACATTTGGTAGGCCACGTATGTTTGATGACAAAATTAATAGTTTAAAGCAGTGCTGTCAGTGTGGCGCGCCGGCAAATTAGTTGGGCAAGTCTTCATTCATTAGGACCAAAGTTGTGTGGTTTAACTTTGACGGCTGTTTGGATGACTCAAGTTATATGAATTTATTGTAATTTTCCCACAGTTTGGAGCTTTCATGACGCGGTATCTCGACTCATATGTATTTATGTAACAATACGTGCCTTGATAAGTGTTCTTACGATATTCGTAATTAGATATAAGTACAAGTATGAATCTAGTATAAATAGGAACGTTTTTAGTATTTTTATTAGTAAATTATTAATTCTAACATTATTTGATATATGTATTTACATGATAATTTTAGGAATTTAGGAATTTAGGTGTTTATACTATGGAACCTCGTGAAGGTCTGTCAATATATTTACCTATTTTAATGTTATTTTAATATTATTTTAAGTTAACTTAAATTAGGGGTTATTTTGTTTCACCATTATCGGTAAATTAATAATCCCATGATTTAAGTAGGTTTATTTTATTGTTCCCATCAAGTATCAGTCTAGTTAAATAAGTCACAAGCTTTTCATCATTCCGGTTCAAATAATATTGTAAGCCTTTGAATCGATTTGTATAATTTGAAATACAGTGTATAGAGGGAAATAGAGTTAAGTTGAGCTAACAGTACTGCGGGTTATAATAACAATAATTGCTTTATTTTCATTATCATATTTATTACTGCCAATTTTGGTTTTCCTAAATCCCTATGTGTATGACGTTCCCGGTATTGAGTCCAAAGTCATTAAAATTATACAACCTTTCAATTAAAAATGAAACGATTACGTATTGATTGATGTCAGAGTTGGGTTTTATTGAAACAGAAGGAATTTCCTATAAAAGTGCCTGATAAAATTTATTGGGTGCTTCGACCTATGTCACTGGCACGCGGAGTGCTGCCATCGTCATTTGCATGGGAATGTAATCAATTTGCGTTTCTTTTGTTTCCCGATATTTTTATGGCTTCCACGGAGGAACGTGTTAAATAATTAATTAACGGATTCTGTAAGTTTATCTTGTTTTCATGTAACTTGTTCTGTGAATAATTAATTGTAATTTATATGGTAGGTTCGATATACGTAGGAATGTATACTAACTGTGCCCGTAATTTATTTTGCGTACAATTTGTTGTAAGATATCTTGTACGAAAGTTTTTCTGAAGACTTTGCACATATTAATGTAGAAACCAAAAAGTTTTTATAGTTTTTACATTAAGATAATGTAAATAAGATAGCAATAAAACAAAGGAACTAAGAAGAGTAAGAAAAAAGAAAGAAACCTAGTAAGAAATCTCCACGCAAAGCTTCTTGGTTAGTGCTGTAAAATTAGTAGGCTGATATCTTCTTTTAATATGGAGACAAAGGAATGGTAATGGGTTGTTGTTCTGGCCGCGCCTTCTCTTTTTCTCTTGTAACTATTTTATTGAGAAAAAATATTAAAAAATTCTTCCGAAAATTCAACCCTTCGATATCCGTAAGAAAAAGCGAAGATGAGACGCCTAAATACTCATCCTATAACTAAAAATATATGTTGTTGTGATTTTGATATTTGTAATTTTTGCAAGTGGTTTTATATTTTTAATCGCTCTCTGAATGGTCGACCCAGTACCTAGTAAGATTGTGAATTTTCAGACGCCCATTTCGCAGTATTTCAATATGTAGACTGTTACTTTGTCTATAGCGGCCCACTGCTGTCAGCTTCTTTGTTTACAATATAGATATATATTTTGAGACGTCTTAACGATAGAATTTTCAGATTTTACGTGGCAATAAAATAAAACTAGTCGAGATTCTACTAAAAACTGTTACAAACTTTTATTTATGGAAATATAAATAATGTAATTTATTTCTTCATATTACTCATAACAGCAAATGCTTTGTAGGCCCAGTTAATCAGCTGAAATAAAATGTATGACAAAGATTTAGTCTTAAATTTAAACTATATCATTATACCTGTAACAGATCATAGATTTTAAATAAATTAAATTCTTACAATAGTATATGTATCAAGGGATAATATAAATATTTTTCCCGCTGTAACTGTAAGTGGGCGTTTGCATCTCTCTAGAAATATTATGATATATTTTCTGGTCTCTGGACTAGCGTTTAACCAGGGACCTTCAAATGCTGCATGTCGAAGATCAATGCTCTGTAAAGAAATTATTTCATATTATACGTAAATTTCTTTATCATATTACACATAAACTAGGAAAAATAGTCTAGATTTTGATGAAATCTGAATTTAAAAGCCTGTTTATGTAATAAATGACCCGAGATAAAATTTATAATATTCAAATTGTTAATTATCTAGTATAATGAAGACAAATTACATTATAAGTATCTATAGAGTGAATGATGATAAAATATTCTAACGTATACAATGGAAACGAGAAACATTATAAGTATTTTAAAATAAACTATTTTATCTATTTATTATTTCAACTATATTTCTTAAAAGTAATTACGACGATTTATTATAATCGTCACATTTTTCTTTAGTAGGATAAGAATACATATCGACTATACGGGCTAAATACTAATACACAATCAAAATAATGAGACAAATGTTAATACAATCAATTTCAAAAATAATAAGTTATAAAAGATAACATTACTGTGAAATACCTTCCAAATTAACTCGTCTCCAAACCAACAATATATAAATACTTCAAACAGCATGCATGTCAAATAAATCGCCATCCACATGATTTGCATTGGGTGACTGGATGGATTCTCGATCTAGAAATTCGAAGTCTTATAAAATAATTTTAGGAAAATAAAGTGTGTCTGTTACCATTTATTTGGTCTAGCGGTTTTGTATACCGTTTTACTTCTGGCGGTCACGGGTTCGATTCCTTGCACGGTGTTAACATTTGTATCTATGAATATGATTGTTTATATTACGTATGTATTTAGAATATATATATCAAAGTATTTATATCACTCTAGTACCCATAATACATGTTCTGCTTACCATGTGACTAGATAGCTCTGTGTTAATTGTCCAGGGTTATTTTTTTAGTCCTAACAAAATTCACCGCGAAATATAACGTATACGTAGTAAGTTCACTTTCAGACATTAAATATTATTATTGTAGAGAGAATGAGTTATAAGAACATGTGTTTTTCATAATTTCTTAAAGTAAATGGAAAATAGTTGAGTTTTATAAGCAAAACAATTCTTTGTTTCATAACTTTGCAGAAAATATCAAACAAAACTGCTAAGAAGTTGTGAGTCGAATTTGACTGTACCAGGAAACTCTCAACACTACGGTAAAGATTGCATGGTAATATTAACATTCTGATACAGACAAATATTAAAACAAAATAAAACAGATTTATTTTACTTAAATATGTATATAAAATAAATTTATTATAAACTAGCAGGCCCAGCAAACTCCGTTCCGCCTCAGAATAAAATAATATGTCAATGGTTTTTTAAATTCATTTACGCTATTAATTTCTGAACGGACCCCATTGGACGGATATGGACAGATTGTGTGGGAAAATAAAGTTATTATTGTTAGCATTTCACATAAAATTTTTCTCATATTCTCTCACCATTTAAACTTCGTAGGAGTTTTACAAATATAATATTTCAAAATTAAAATTAGCCAAATCCGTTCAACAGTTGTCGAATTTTAACGAGACTAACAAACGTCATTTCATTTTTATATATATAAAGATACCAAAAAGAATAATTTAATCTATTTCTTACACTCACGTTGACGCATATAACAATTTTATTGAATATTAACGAGGACAAAATTATAAACATAGTTCTTTAATTAAAGACGTTAACATTATAGTGCCTTGTCGATGAAGTGGAATGTAAATAGATACATAGCAAGATTACGATTGAGTTATGTTAAGGTACTTAAATTTGTAAACTTGCTGAACTAGTAAGAAACTTTTACTGAAATAGGTTGTGATATTGTTTCAGTTACCTACTAGTTAACATTCGTAGCACCTGCACAAGTACCTACTTTCTGCCGAGAATTGCGTGGCAGATAATATTGTTATCCGTTCAAGATTTCGGTGTCTCGCGTGGCTTTGCGAACACAAAGGACAACTTTGGCGGTTTAATTGCTTGAAACTTGAAGATATACTGGCTTCGTATTATGTAAAATAAAGTTGAAATAAAAATTCTTATTCTTTTTTATGGTAAAGTTCTTCTATACTTAAAATATAATTAAAAATGTAATAAAACTTGTAATAATATTTTATTAACTAAATATTCTATGAATTTTTATTTTGGTTGTTGACTAAAACTATAGGACTAAATTGAATATTGACATTGAAAAATAAATAAGATTAGTTTTAAAAGTCATTGATATCAGTAATCGTGATCAGGACATGATCAAAACTTAGGTATCTATAAGTTTAGAGTTGATCATGTCAGGTCAGTCTTAGTTAATATTAACATTTGTATGTAATTCAATGATTTTAGGGATGATTGAGTAATATTTCATAAGTGGGTTATTATAAATTAAACATTTCAAATAGTTAAATAATATTTAAACTTTTCTGCCCATATATTTTTGACAATTGAAGCTGACTGTAGTGTCTAATGGACTACTCTTTCTCTCATGTCATCGATGTATAAAGATTGATTGACATAAATCTCGGAACTAAGTCCCAATACTGTAATGGCTTATATACTGTACTAGAAAGAAACACCGTAGCTTTGCGAGCATGGAACCTGTTTTCTCCTGTTCCCATAGGAATGCTTTAAAACGCTTTCTTAGTGAATGGCTCACAAAAAGAACTTCTGTGCAATATTTCAAGTCCGTAGGTAAAGCTTACGTATAATTCTGGGGATTTTTCAATATAAATTTTCCAAGTATATAGATACGTACGTATTAACAGATTTATACTTTTAAGGTACAATAAAATCAATTGAGCCTAAACCCTTTTATATCTAGAAATATGTTTTATATGGAGACTTCTCAAAGCAATATTTTTTGTACTCGTAATATTTGAATACGAATAAAGAGTTTATCTATCTATCAATAAACAATAAAATCCCTCTAAAATTCTTATTATTCTCTTTATTTATTATTAGAAAACAACTAATATTATGTCACTGATGTAGCAATTATTTATTATATGTTTTCTCTTTTTTAGCAATGGGTTTGTATTGCCCAATATGTCGCTTATAATAGACAGAATTCAGGACGGGTAAATGAATAAGAACCAATAGCAATATAGGGCAAGATTGTGATTACGGGAGTAGACCTATTACAATCATCCCTGCCAGTTGCACACTCTGCTTCACAGAAGAGCATATCGCCAAATACCGCGGTTTTCATGTAACCCACGTGACGGCTATAAAAAGGCCACTCTCATTTAAAGCAACCATATTCTAGTACGAGCTCCCACTTAGGCTGAACACGAGCCGCTCATTCCCGAACAAGGCTTGGATTAAACCTCCGACGATTATTAGCCAAGTGGCACCAAACCCACACATATGGCCGCGCCCATGCCTATACTCAAACCCGTCGCTCAAGCATTGCCCGCGGTCCATAATGCCAACAGCGGTTCCCTAGCTCAGAACTTTGCACTAGTCGCTTGCTTGGCTAGCACCATCGACCCTATAGAGTTCGCTCTGCTTGCCTCCAAACTCCACCTGCGTTACTATTCAGGCATGGGAATTATTTTTTTTTAAGAAACATTCGCTATAAGTGCCACGTATCTTCGACAAACGGCCACATACTAGACAGATTAACTGACTCTCTTGATTTCAAGATTATCCTACCTATTATCCATATAACGTTAACCACCAACTCGTTATATTGGACATGGCACTTCTGAGGAATGTAACCTTACGGATGAGGTTTTCAGAGGATCATATCGAACCCCACTCGGAAGACTGACTGATAACCCTCCTAATGGGCCCTTCGTCAACGCATCAAGACTGACACACTGCCAACGGCTTACTAAATCTCTCGAGTCGACTGACTCACCTATTCTGAACCATATTTCCTGACCGACCACCTGCAATCGGCAGTTAAGGAGGTACAAGTAACTGAGGAATGCCGATGGAAATGAGTGCCGACGCTGATGAATCCCTGATGGCGTAATGAGGCTAATGAGCAAAAAGAACACAGTCACTAGAGCATACTATCGCCACCGCTTTCGAACTGAATCGGATTCGCCTTCGTACCTTCTATCACCAAGAAGGAAAATCATTTAGATGGAGAACCTTTGAAGTTATTATTGAAGATATAGTTTAATATATCCCCAATAATATATATAATAATTGGGAATGTCTTCCTTACTGAAGTCGATTGAGAAACTAATTACAAGACAAAGTTATTTTTTCTCTGCACGTTGCTTATATTGTCTTCGTGTTGTTCAACGACGACAAAATTAGTTTTGTAGATAAATAAAATTTTATGACTTCTCTCAAGTCTAGTGTCGTGAGTTGTGATTACTTTCGAAGTTATCCATGGATATTATTTCTAGTGTTGAAATGTTTTTATTTAAGTTTATCCCGTACATTACCTATTTTAGAATTGTGTAAAAAATAAATAAAATAGATTTTTCTGTAACAACTAAAAATTGTTAATTATAATGAAAATATTAATTTAAATTTAAATGTATTTTCCTAACAAAAGTTGGATTCTTTTCCATTTCAATTTTATACAAGCGATTTGTTGGATGTAATATGTCATAATATAGGATATACCGAATGTTTACGAAAAGGATCCAACCATCCATGCGTCAAGTAGTCCCACTAGTGCGATCAGGTTATAATTTTGTTTGCCTTTAGTTTATTGTATGTATCTTGAAGTAAACAGATCAAAAGGAGATGTTAATTAAGGTTTATTTCATTAGCAGGCAGTAATGCCGCCTCGGTTTCGTTCAGACAATATATATTATATACACATATTAGAACTTAACAGCCACTGTTTATATCATTTTTCAATAAAGTAAATTTTAATTCATATTTATTTACTTTTCTTTGATAGTAACATCCATTAACAATAAAACGCAATATTTTTTATACGCAATATCATTTAATTATAAGTGACTCTAAATCAGTGGTTCCTAACAGTTTTTGCTGTGTACCATTTCAAAACAGATCTCAAATCTGTGAAAGTTTGTGTGTGTGATGACATTTGTGTGTGACCCTTTGATGCAACATTAAGTACCCCTAGGGGTACGTGTACCACTAAGTGGGAATTACCGCTCTAGATAGTTCACATAGTTCCAAACTAGTATCAATAGTAATTACGGGATAAGTGACTTAGATATATTTATTGTGTAAATATACATAAACAGTCAAACCGTAAATAAACATAATATTCATCAATTCAAACATTCTTCAATGCGAGACTCTATGAAAAGCTAGGCAATGTGACAATTTGTTAGACAACAGAAGTCGCCAAATGAATGCTAGAATTAAATTCGATTTGCCTTTCAATATCTAGCGAATGGGTAAATTATATTCTATGGCAATTTGCACAACAGTAAATGATACTCACCGATAAAAACTGTACACCTACCAAACAAAGTACCATGACACTTAGCATGAATTGTAAAACTGAAGCCAGACTGAAGGCATTTTCAATCATAGAGACATACCTGAAAATTATTATAATATAAGTCAATCATAATAATAGATTCATATAGGACAGATATATTTTTACAACTGTATACATTGTAAAAAAAATATCAAAAAGTATCAATACAATAAAGACAATTGTGTCTTTATTGTATAGATACTGATATATTTTAATAACTTTGCGTACATAAAATATTGTAATGTATTTAAAACATAATAATTATGTTTCTAAGTATGTATATCATGAAATTAATGCAATGATTAAATAGTAACTATGATACTTATATACGCATATACATATAATAAATATATTGTACGCGTGAGACTTCCTATAAAAAAAAGCCAAGCAAAGAGCTTGATCGGTCTTGACTCGTCTAACAAGTGCATCGTGGCTTACTCACTATTTCAAATACGAAGTCAGAGAACGGTATTCAACAATGTTGAATACCGTTCTCTGTCAAATGGGACGTTGAGATATGGGTTCCATTTTATTACGTCAATAACATTTTGTTGACATTTAAAATTGAAACTTTATTTCAGTACTTTGAACGATATTTTCAATGATGTTACAATGGTTCACTAGTTGCTCTGAGTCTGTATTAAAGATTTAACATGTAATTATAACTATATATATGAATATTGCAAATGTAAACAAATCCCTAATTAAACACATTTATTATTCATATTATTTTAACCCGTTCATTACCATAGCTCTTCAATAACTGTTCTATGTTTTTCCTATTCTTTGTGTAATATTCTTACGACTTATACTTTATTTTGATGAATAACAAACGTGGGAATAAAAAAATGTTAAAGTAATATCATATGACACATTAGGCCCAGAATTTGGCCTAGCAACACATGTGCGATTTCTAAATCTATATCTATAGGTATAGATATAGATTTAGAAATCGCACATGTAGTTAAAATATTAACTGACAGGACAAATCTTAGACTATCAGAAATGAGCATTGATAAATTGAAGATAGTATTATTCCTAAAAAATATATAAATAGTGGCGGTCCATTATCAGATAAGTAAATACATAATGTAGTTTCTTTTTTTTAGTCCTTGTGAGTGATGTTCCAAATCATAATTTAAACTGCCAATTAATAAATAAAATATATATCTAATAACGCACATGTATTTTGTCAAATTGTCGACGTGAGAGGCTTAGCGTTTGACATGGTTGTCACTGGCAGACGTTAATAAACCCGCTTTATTCGTGTCATCAATAACGACGATTTTTTTTGTTTTTTGTTTATGCTATTCTGTATAGTGATTGCGTATTGAATGTTGTGGAAGTGTTTGTGACAACTATATTTTTTAACCTGACTGAAAGTATACTGATCTCTATATGTTCAGTAGTAGTATGTAATATTATCTTATCTGTAGTAGTGGTATATGAGTAATTGAAGTGATGATGATCAAAGTGCAAGAGAAATGTGTAAGATAGTCAAGTGTGCCGTTCCGTTTTTTTATGTTCGTCTCGCAAAAGTCCTTTGGTTTGTACTAACTATGACTATCTGTTTATTTGTTACCTTTTCATAACCAAATGGCTGAACAAATTGTATCACTAGAACTATGTAATATTGTATTAATATTGTATATGTTATCTGTGCTACAACAGACGAAGTAACAGATAGCATCCAATTACAATTCGTATGCTAGATACAAAATTTAGCCTATCTTCGTATTAAGAGCACTTATTTGCTAGTGAAAAGCTAACAAATATACACAGTTTTGCATTTATAATATTAGTAATAATGTGAATTGTTGTAATAGTTGTCATTTATAGAGCCTTCAAAAACATCGGTAAGTGGTTAGATAATGTCTTGTTAGAGCCAAATATTCCAAATTAGTTATAAATAATTTGAAATATTATTTCGTTTAAATGTAGAGCGCGTCAGTGATCTATCCATCACGTTGTATTAAAAGTATGTCACCACCAATGGTGATACATTCAATTAAGGCTTGCTTTACCAAAATAATAAAATATCAACTTAATAGATAAATACATCATAACATGTATTTATCTATTATATTATAGTTTAATTTTTCACACATTATACTTGTACGGCTTGGCATTGTCTTAGTTAGAACAACAACTACAAACGATTGGCTTTTTTGGCTTTAGTTGACCGATAGATCTTTTGTAAGTAGGTACTGTACTTGAGGTTTCAAGTGGCTATCAAGCATAGACTTCCGTGAAGCTTAAAAGGTCAGAGAGCAGCAATAACAAGAGGTTTTTGTGCGAAGCATCAGAAGGCTTTCTCCGAATCTATTCTCGTTGCTTCTCACTATAAATTTGCTCTCAAGTCAGAATACCAAGAAATACTCAATGGTGTTTACAAAGGAAGAACAATATTATCCTTAAGTTAATGACAACTCTAAAATATATTAATACTTGCTATTTCCTGTGACTTCGGTTGTTTTGTTTACATAACAGGTAGTCTGTGTCCGTACGTCTCGCTAATTTTATTAGGGTTCGTTTAACCTATTAGTTGTAAAGATTACAAATAGTAAAACTGACTAATATAATAAAATTATTTTTATGTAATTAATAATTCTATTATATATATATATTATTATATTAATATTGTATTAGGATATATATTCATATTAAAGTGTGTTACATTAAAAGACAGTAAGGTACTTTTTTTATTCGGCGTTTTTCATATAATTTGAGCAGTTTACTTTCAAAACTTTATAGAACACACCATCCCTAAAAAGTACAGTATTTATTTTTCAAACCAGAATACAATATACAAGATGTTTAGTGTGACCTATGTTCAATGTTATATAAATTGGAGACGGTGGTAACTATTTCCACTATGGTAAATGGGTCGTTCTTCTTTTTAACCTACAAAAAGGTGTCTTCATCAGTTAAAAAAAAATATAATCGAAAATTATCCCTATTATTTTATTATTAATGTTTCAATATGTACTGTACTAAAAATGTAACGGCTATACACGTTCACAATAAATAAACATTTATATTTTTATAATAAAAAATACGTTACAAAGTCGTCAATCCGCGTGACAGAGGTGTATTTCATACAAATCATAGTTGTCTCCCGCTACCTGAGCCTGTGTTTAATTCATAATGGTACGAAAAAATATAAAGACAGTAGCAAATATAAAAGTATTTTTTAATTCTACAAGATATAGTTCATTTTGTTGTACTGACTAAAATTTTTTGACATTTTTAATAAAAAAATAGAAAAATCTTAAAGTCTTGTCTTTCACTACAGACTATTTTAATAGGTATATTCGGTCACATGTATTTTAATTTGAGCGACGCGTATACGCGGGTCGCTTTTGTTGCCGTCGATTGGATATTTAGTCCTTCCTATCCCTTGCTGAGATAAGCTCTCTAGGACTTAGAGATTGCGCGTAAGTCGCCCGGAATCTGTGTATGGAGGTGCGTGTGTTTATTCGGCGACAACTTCGTCACGTAAGTATTGGACAATAATATATCAAGTACAGTTACTTCTTATTATTCAACTTTTGCGTAATAAGAAACACTTTCATGCCAACCTGTTAAGTTTGTATTTTGTGGTAACGTTTAAATATGATTAATTTTGTAAGTAAGATTTACCCCTCCGTCACGCTACTACTTCGTCACAATAAAATTGTGACGGAGTGGTAAAGTACGTGACGGATGGGTAAAGAATACTTTCAAAGAATATAATATTTATTTTATGTCATAAAATATAAGAATCTGTTGAAACAGGGCCAGTACTTATTATGGCAACTATTTCGATATAAAGTTTATCTAGTGTTTTTCTAATGTTTACGGATTTATTTACATATTTTCTTTCTCAAGATATTATTATGACGAAAAAGAAGTCATTAACAGCAGAAAAACAGCGGCGTTGCCGTAAGATACGAAAAAGTTATACAGAAAAGGTAGCTGAAGTAAAACGCAAACATCTCGAGAGATATCATACTCGTAAGAAGCTTGTGGCTGACATGACTGTGAGAGAACATCGTATGATGAAGAGAAAATAGCGACAAGAAAAGAAAAAAAAACAAACGCTTGAAAACATACTGTTGAACACGCCGGCTCCATCGCCATCCAGAAATACGTCCTCATTCTGCAACACCAACTAATTCAGAAGTGTCTAGCTTAAGAGGGAGGAAGAGAGTGAAAAGAGATAGAACACAGAGAAGTTATACGGAGAGAATATTAGTTTACAAGATAAAATAGAAGAATTAGAGAGGAAAGTTCAAAAATACAAGAAAAGCTTGCACAGAAAATCCAAAAAAGATAGCAATAGCAAAGATGAAAAGAACAGTAAGAATGAAAACAAATATAGTGTCCTTTCCAATGTCATTAAAGAACGATACCAAACTTGCATTTTTTTTAATCAGGACATGGAAAGGGAATTGCTAATGGTGTTGGTGGAACTTTGAAACGCCAAACTGATGCTATTGTAGCAATAGGAAAATATTTCGGAGACGTGTTAGAATTCTTTTTCTCCATTCAAGATACCAGCAAAATTAAATGGTTTTTGGTGGCAGACGAAGACATAGACAATGGAGTATCGACTATTCCAAGCAGTATTTTACCCCTGAAAGGAACCATGCAAATCCACCAACTGTTCTCAGAAACTCGTGGAATCTTAAACTTTAGGGTTCTGAGTTGTTTTTGTGAACAATTCTGTTCGTCGTTTCTAAAACTTATTGGCCTCTGCCTGAAACAGAATCCAATGTTGACAATATTTTGGACTAGTTGTTTCCTAACGAAAAAGAAGATGTTGCAATTCATGAAGTGGAGGATTTGTCGCTCACGATATTAGGAACAAAATTGGGATGCCTCGAAAAAGATTTTATGATATTATGTATGAATCATCTGAGGAAGATCAGCCATTGCACACATATATGCAAGCAAAGATTCCTCTAATCCAACGGCCTTTTCTAATACTTCTTAAGAAACACTTCACCTCAAGGCCTTTCATCATAGGAATATAGAAGACGGTGTATGTACTCGTTAAAGTAAAAAGTATATATATATACATACGTCACATAGGCGATGTTCTGGTGATGTTCTTGAAAACAGTCGATGATTGTGGAAGATTATTTATTAGTGGAGAATGACTTATTAGATGTTCCGTATGAGGATTTGATTAAAATTCTATCAAATCCAAAAGTCATTAAAAAAGGAAAGAGAAGGTATTTTTGAATTTGATAAGCTTTTGCCAGTGTTCGAAAAGTAAGACTGATTAGGACAAGTATGACTGAAGAAAGTAATTTGTTGATGATGATTATTATTTTATTTTAATTTTTCAGTCAAGTTAGACATTTTTTTTTTATTTCAGACAAGTTAGAAGTCTTATAATTTAATTATACTAATACGGATCTCATTCCAAAGGTTCTGCAATGTTATTTTATTAGTATGAGAGTATTTCAGTTGTAAGAATGTAAGACTGTCAAATATTTAATTATTCTAAAGAAGTAATAAATGATTCTAAATAAAATATTCATTTAAAACTAGTTTTATTCCAAAATATAACCGGATATTATATAGAATAACAACTCTGTCACATACTCTACCACTCTGTCACGATATGTCTCCTGGTTTTAAAATTTATATACATTTTAATATTTTCTTATGAATAGTACAATTTCGGAAAAATTATATTAAAAATAGTTAACTATAATATGGTCTACGACATTAATATTTCTGTGCTAGAAGTGGTTAAAATTGAATTATAGCAAAAATATACTTCTAAAAAACTGCAATTGTGACAGAGTGGTATAAGATTAAAAATATATATTTATTGTTATATACAGAAGTCTTGCCTTGAGAGTTTTCTAAAAGGACCATTTGATTATTATTGTAAAAAGTAATTTGCAAGCTATCTGAGTTAAACTATTTGATACAAAAAAATAAAAGATATTGTGACGGAGGTGTACAATTATTCGCCCAATCCTGCTTTAAGGCCTCGAAAATCGTACAAATATTTGTAAACTTCGCGGCCAACAACTTTTTCAGATAGAACAGACATTCAGCTATCACAAAACATACAAGAGTTGACTAAAAAGCGTTATATTTTTTTTTTGGAAATTTGAGTAAAAATTTTAAGATCATGTAGGTTAAAAAAAAGAATGACCCAAATACTAATTTAGTTAATTAAGTTATCAATATGTATAAATACCACTACAATTATAAAGATTTCTCTGGTAGGTAATAGATTTTGAAATTTGTATTAATTATATTTCATACTATGCTTTTTATAGCATGCGATTGTATGTATCAGCTATTTAAATAGCTAAGAGAAATATCTGAAAATTTCTTTAAATTGTTTAACAAAGTGTAGACATATTTGTGTGACTTCAGTTTGCAGGTTGATGAGTTCTAAAATAAACGATTTAATTTACCTTATGATGCTGTTGTGGTGTATAATACAGTCCCTAAGAACGGTATGTATATGATAATCTTTAGAGAATGCTCCAGTGGCTTTACGTTCGTTAATGGCCCTTTTACGTCTCCTTTCTGCCACTACGTCGAAATTGCGCAGGTTAAACGCTAATATTTCTATTTGGCCGACTGTAATATAAAAATGTATACATTAAATAACATTTTCCATATAAAAATGTACTCCATATACACTCAAACTGCGTTCCTGAATAAAATAATTACATAGATTACATTTATTGAGTGAACTATGTAATTACATCTGAAGTCTTATCTTACTTGTAGATGAAATAAAAGATGCCAAAATTGTATCCATAACGCCATCAATAATGCAGGTCGCTGGTTTATAGTATATCTGTGAACAAGTATCTGATTTAATTATGAAAAAGAAGATAAAAATCAAGCATAATCTGGTTGACTGTAAGTGTAGTGTGAAGGTCTGGCTAACAGAAAGATTTACTACTTAGTAAGACTCTCACACTTACTTAAGTGTGAAATTATTATTACCTACACCGGATTGTATTTGAAATTTTAAATGTTTTTAATAAAGATTATATCGATACAAATCCATCGTTTGAGGTTTGTAGGACGATTCTACTTCTGTAGCCGATACATTCTACACAGGTAACTAGGTGCGGGTTGCCATGTTTTCAAAAAACGAATGAAGTTGTTTTTATACCCACCTTTCTATTGAACGCTTGAATACCATGAATTAAAAAATAATTTTGTATACTACATATATACCCGTATATGCGCTCAGCGGGGAGTTTGTTCGTCGCATATTTATTTCGCAAAGGAATTAAATAAAATATTGTTTAAAAGTCAGGTCTTAACTAAGATTTATCTATCTTTCCTTATTCAAAGTTCTCTACGGGATAAATATATAATTATGTGTCATTGTCGCGTACAAGCAGCAACAAAACGCAACACAAAAGGAGCGTTCTGATTGGAGCGCACACCCATCCAATTCAAATACGCAACGTAATGGAACAGACTTAAAATATCAACCGACCGATCTAACGTACTTTGTTCACTCCACCAAATTTGTAATAAATAGTATATTTGCCATTAAATTCGAGACTATCAAGCGAATTCTATCATTTTCTACATCCCGTAATCTGCTGAAGCCATCATATATAATCATCACGTACCAGTCATTACTTCATCTGATGACCTCGTTGGTCTAACGGTTTAGCGGTCGCGGGTTAGATTCCTCGTACGGTACAAACATTTGTATTCATTAGTAGGATTGTTTATATTGGTCGCGGTGTTTTTTATGTATATTATGTATGAATAAAAAAAATGTATTTAAAGTATTTCTATCAGTTATTGTCTAGTAACCATAACCCAAGCTCTGTATTGAGATTGGCGCTGTGTGATTTGTTCAGAGTAATTGTTATTATTTCGAAGGATTCAATTCTTTCCTATAAGTCTTCTTTGTTCACTTCTTAATTAATTTCTTGGATATGCAGTATCCGGAGAAGGATTACAGAAAAATATTTAAATGAACTAGGCAAACCCAAAACGAATATTGAAAAAAATATGCAGTATTTGATAATGGCCATTTTATTGTCGCGTTAGAGTTAGTGAGGATACTTGCTGTTGATTAAACGTTGAAAATGCGCAACACATAAAAAGGTTTTTTGATATTACTTGAGAAGACTTATTCCGCATAAATTTTATATATACAAAAATGATCAAATTCGATTTAAGACTTACCTAATTCATATATAAGGTAAATAAATAAATGGTAAATGGATTTTATAAGGTAAAACATGTTTCTCGTTTAAACGAATAATGAACACAGTTTTCCGTTTATTTTTTCCATAAAATTTAACCAAAAGGAAAAGTAATTTTGTTTATTTTAGTCTATACTCACGTGATGAACGTACAATATTTGGTAGGCGGGTGATGTGTAAACATTAAAATATGGATATTCCACATTCGTTGGTAAAATGTCGAAATTTTCTGTTATTGGCATAATAATTCCCACTGAAAACCAACATTTATTAGACAATATTTAGGAATTACCTTATTCATTCATATTTAATTCAAGTAATAATACTCATGAATATAAATTATAATTATTTCCAAATACACGACTTAAAAATATACAAACAATTATTTAAAAATTTTATTTGTTTTTTTTAATATTAATCTACATAAAGGTAAATAAAACCGACTGATGGAAAAGGTAATTTAATTATGTTTCCATTTTTAATATTCATTATGACTCTTGAAAAAAAAATTAAATTAATAGTTTTATAAAGATTATTAAATTCAAGAGATAGACTCTAAAACATTAGACGGTATTTAAACATTCTTTCACCTATTTGTATTATAAAATACAAGTAGTTTCTCTCTTCAATAATTTTACCATTTGAAATTTAGGGTTTGCTAGTTCACATTAAAAAAGGAATATTTTATTAATTTTGTTTCTGTGTGGGATAAGCGAACTTTAATTGTGTTGCTTATTTTCCCATAAACGTAATTGCTGTTAAAAGACTTTACCTGAAACCGCGCCAACGCACATTATGGTATAATATGTCATCACCCAACGTGCTGTTCTAATACTCTTTCGTATGAACTCTTTGTGTTCCGCCTCGATAGGCTTAAACTCTTCACAGTATAAATATTGAATAAGATTCATTACCTTATCTTTATTCAACCAGAATACAACTATTTTGAAGTATGTGTAAACTTCGCTTAAAAACAAATATAATCTGTAATCAAACAAATTCAACAAAGTTATATATATTATTTTCTATATCTAGTTATTGGTTTATTCGCTTCGAAATATACATAAATATTAGATAATTGTATGATATAAGTATTTACATATATAGCTAAGATTCATTCAATTACAGATAAAAGGGCAAATATAATATAAGTAGTTGGTAAATAGACAGATATAGCTACCCTTCTGCGATGTCTCCAATATTTTCCTTTGGCTTCAGCAAATAAACGATCTCTCCTACTATAGGCAGAAAACATACTAGCCATAAAATAATAATGGTATATATTATTTGAATCCAGAAAAGAATATTCAGCGGCGAGAAATTGTTGTACCACAGACCGTAAAATTTCAACCAGTATATATGAATAGCATGATACAATCTGGGGTTTAAATCATCCCATGACTCGAGTACCCCGTAAGGCAGTATAGGTAACAATACAGATAGTTTATCTTTCACATTTTCTGTGAGTATTTTCATTTTACCTTACGTATCGGAACTGGAGTAAAGCCTTTGATGTGTATTATAAGAATGCCTCTTGAAGCTCATCATATGCTCCTTTATACAAAGCAAAGGGAGAGCGACGCCGCGACGCTAAGTGGGTATTATACATTATTTTGTGGGCCTCATTGTTAAGAGGAGGTGCTTTTACAGGCAATGTATTAAAACTTTTATAACACATAACATTTGCATATAAATATTTATTTACGGCGATCGAATTATTAGATGGAATAATAATCATAGTTAAATAGATGTTGCTTGTTATTGCAAGCTTATGAATTACAATCACCTTAAATTCACCTTATAATTGGCAGGTTAATACCAGTACTACTTTTTTTCATAAAAATATAACAATAATAATTGTAATAACCATGGAGAATTCACACAACGCTATGTAGTCTTAAGATAAACAGATCTTGTGTTATGTGTACTAGAAATCCTTAAATAGTTTTTTAATACATGTACAATATATACAGAAGACACCCAGACTTATACGAAAATCACAGTTATGAATACAAATGTTTGTGTAGTGCGAGGAATCGAGCCTATAACCATCGGAAGTAAAGCGGTTGTGTTGTGGTGTTGTAAACCACCAAGGCTATCCATATATCTGTATCTGTATATATATGTAACATATCTGTATATATATGTAACATGGATTCCTAAAAGTTATATTCCGTATTGTGAGCGATATAATAATAGGAGGTATAGGGAAAACTTCTGTTACCATGTTGGTTCCCGTCGTTTTTTATACATTTGATCATTATGTAAGAATATTTTGTTAACAACAAACAATATAACAGTAAGCAAGAGCGTTAAGCAAGTCCGTGGCATCTAAGCTTTATAAATAGATTATTATCATTACTAAAAAAATAATTGAGCTCGTAAATTTATTCTATAGTAATAATAATAATAATTGGTGCTTTGTAAGTACATTTTATGCAATTATGAACTAGAAAAATATTTAATGATAATTAATGAATCGTGTATACATTTCTATAAACTAAATAGATATTAACAAATATATTAATGTTGTAAAATATATCTAGATAATTTTCCGTTACAGTATGTACCTTAAAGGAGTTAACTTAATATGTCGCCGAAAGCAATTATAATAATTACAACAGCAATGTAATTACTGCTATAAGAAAAGACACCGTTCTCTTAACTAGGGATAATTGTGTTTTCAAAGAGGCTTTCAGACAATAATAATTTTCTAATACAAAGACGGCATATAGAGGCAAAGTGTTTAAATAGGTGAAGATTAATATTATCTAGGTACTTACTGTTTTAATGACTGCGGATATACAGTTATTTTAATTATTAATTGTATTATTACAAGTTTTAATAATTAACTTCGTGTATACATCTAAGACTGTAAGTAATATTGCGAACACTTAAATTGACATTTTTAAGTTTAGGGTTTGTGACTAAAAATGTTGGCCTAACCTGGTAACAGTTTTATAGTAACGATCTTACTCAAATTTCTATTCGTGTAAGAGTAAAATCATATATACTATTTTAAGCTGATGAACATGAGCTTGAAGATGGTTAGATGACCTATGAAATATAATAATGCAACCTCATCCGGGTCGAGCTCATCTGATTTATCTGAATCATTATCAGCATATGAAATTAAAAATAAATGACATTATACAAAATTAAAAACTCTCGACTTTTCTGTACAATAGTAAGATTTATGTCGTAATTTAAACATACAATTATGGTATTCGGTTGCTCGATGACGGAAAATAAATAGCTATTTAATTAATTCTGAAGAAAAAGATTATATTTAGTTTAAGGACAAAAAAAAAACTGCGAATTGAGTTTCATTTGTCACACAACTTATTTTCAGGTGTAGATAGGTAAGTCTACGAGTACGTGATATAATATGGCAATTGGTACGTTATATATATAAAGGAAGTTAATGAAATTATATCTTATTTAGAATTTTTACATGTTCAATCGGAAGTCTTTTTTTAGGTGAGTACGTATACAGTAACACTGGTTTATAATCAACAAAAATAATTTTAATATATGTGAATTCCAAACTTAGAGATCCTACTTCCAGTATTGTAGTTATTGGGAACGAGATAATTTGTTAAAGAAAACGTCTACGCAATTTATCATACGTTTAATGAGGAGACCTTACAGCGCTGACGCGCGTTGAATGATCGTTGGCTTATACAAAATATATTATGCAAAAAAGTGATAAAATATGAAACGATTTATGTGATTCGCACAAGGGGCGGTCGAATTTGCATAATCACCGTTCGTAGGCCGCACAGAAAATGAAATACGTGATCTAACAAACAATCCTGCAAAAGTTACAAATAAAAATTGTTTGTTATGTGGTTGCTTGTTGGCAGTCTGTTTTCAACCGATATCGAAAACGAGCACGGTCTCGAGCAAGTCAATTCATACGGTAAACATTTTTTTTTGAATTTAATTTTTAATTTTTAATCAGTTTTATATGTATATATTTAGATATACTTTGTACACTCTGTAATTTGTTATAACAGTACCTTTATAAACGACTAGTCATCTAATTATTCGTTAGTTGTAGGATAACGTTCTTAGAGCGAGAAAGCATTAACTGACTATAAAGTCAAGATTGTATGAAAGCTATTGCTAATAAAAATATATGCAAATGACGCGAGTATATTTCCATGTTCTTTTTCTCATTCAACTTGGTATTTCTACTTTTTTGATGATGGTGAAATGGATGTTTATTAGTTTATGGTGACTACACCATTAAAAGATGAAAGGGTGTGTATGAAATAATTTTATTTAGGTATATTGCACACGGCGCGGTTCACAATCGCTCTATATAGAGAAACTATGTACAAAACTCATGTTTTTATATACTAGCTTACTGTAATTTGTAAATTTCTATTGTACCAAAGTAGAATACCACAAAGTAGGGTACTTTGTGGTATTCTTCTTTGCGGTGCGCGGTGGCAAACCGCACTGGGAGTAAAGCGCCATACCCTTACACCACGGTTGCGAATTCACCGGGAATTAACCGCGTTGGTTTCCAGGAGGGATGGCCGTACTCCGTTGAAGCCTTAGTGTGGTTAGCATGGCATATAATTATTGTGCTTTACAAACAAATATAATAAAATATTTTGTTTAAAAAATGTCAGATAGTAGCCAATTACCTATATTTCTATATTAATAATTCCGTCAAGGGTACCCCTTGACGGAATTATTAATATAGAAAGGTAGACTCGAATGAAACCTTATGTGAATAACAAAACATAAAAATATATTGATTTCGAGTCGACAACATATATCCGCAAAATTCGGATTATGGAGTATTTCGTTAAATTCACTCGCTACAAAACACACACTGACCAATAAACTGCAATCGCCATCTTTTCATGTCACTAGCTAACAACCAATCAACACTACGCGCGCGTTCGCGCCAAAGATCCATCACAAAGAACTGTGACATATGACATGTGTCGTTGACGTTTCGCGAAAATATAGTTTTTGACAATTTTTTATGTAAAAGAGTTATGTGTTTTTTCTTTAAATTGGCCAATTGCGAGTCAAATTTGACAATATTTTTTATTAATTTGTTTCACGGCTCTGGATACAAGTCCTTTTTAGCCCAACTTAAAGTTTTGCAATATAAATTATAAAAATTAAAGTCAATGTCAAATAATAATAAATGTCAAATGTTGCTTCTCTGTTCTGACGAATTTATTAAAAAAAAACTTAATAACAATCACAATTTCTTCACATTTTATTATTACACACATAATGCCAGGTATTTGCAGTTTTTAAATAAGGTTGTGGCACTATTGGAAATTAATGTTATTTACCCATTTTTATAGGTTATACGGAAATAATGTGTAGGTGTTTATTTAAAAAGCATTAACACAAAATTAATAAAGGTATTAATAAATATATGATTGTTGTATCAAAATAGATTTTGATATTTTTCACCAAAATAAAGACTTAGCCTTTTTTATAAAACAATTGACCTTTTCATAGTGTCATATATTATTTAACAGATTGTAAGAAAAAAAATGTTGGTTTGTAGATTAATACTGTAAAAATTACTATTTGTACGGAAACGACAAAAATATATTTTTATTCTGTAACACTACAACAGTAGTGGAAACATTAGTATATGTACGTAAATTATAAAATTCTGTTATGGAAATGTCATATTAAACTTTAAAACTAATTTGTTACAATAAAAGTTTCCGATTAAACAAATCGGTATGGCTATCCCGCTACAGGTGGTAACATTTTTTTTGGTTCTGTTTATTCTTAATCGGAAAGGCAAAGGGAACTGCGCCCATACAGCCGAGGTGGTAACATTATTTGAAAATTTTACATTTGAAGCTGTCAATTTACTCTCCCGGATTAAAAAACAAACTATAACCAAGTATGCCACTTACAAATTCTTGATCGTCATTTTCAATCTTTTTTTTTTTATTTGGTCCGCGTGACTCTCCGGGATTTGCCGAGTTCTTACTTAGTTACTTGTTAATTACTAAGCTACTTGGTGTCCCTGTAGCCCCAAGCCCCGCATGTTTATGGGGGCTCGACCTCAGAGTGGAAGCATAGCAAATGGCTAACGCGGGGCGAGAGGGAAGGTTAAAAGGAAGAGGAAATGGATTGGTAAAAGAGGAAGAAGGAGAAAAGGGCGGTGGTGGACCACGTCGTCGTACTGAAAGAGCGACAGAACTAGGAACTCGGCAAATCCCGGAGAGTCGCGCGGACCAAATAAAAAAAAAAGATTGAAAATGACGATCAAGAATGGGAAAGATGTTTGGATGAAGCCAATTGCTTTAAATATCTGGCAAAGTAGAGAGTGCTTAAAACAAAGAGGTTAACAGAGAATAAACCTTAAAAGTTATATGTTTTGTAAATTTATTTTGAATGTTGATTTAAAATAAAAATTATTTGTATAAATACTTATATGCAATAAGTGCAACTTATTATTTACTATAGTATTTATT